CTATGAACTCAGCCTCCATTGTAGAGCGGGCAATACAAGTTTGTTTGGATACTTCCAAGATACCGCTCCCCACCAATAGTGAATACATATCCACTTGTGGACTTGGAATCCAGTTGATCCGGTGATCCAATTTGCATCAACAGTATCCTCAATGACCGCAGGATATTTATTGTAATGCAAAGCAAAGTCCTGGGTATGTATTAAATACCCCAAAACTCGTTTCTGGCCATCCAATGAGATTGGCCTGGATTGCTCGTATATCGACTCATTTTACTTATAGCACAAGCTATAATCTGGTCGTGTACAATTCATTGATGTACATTAAGCAACCCAACACACGAGCATAATCCAATTATGATATGCTCTGGCCTTTTGTTCTTTGCTAATGGCAAGATTCACATCAATTGGAGTCTTTTGCAATTTTAAAGCCCAAGTGCTTGAATTTTTCAAGTACTGTCTTAATATAATGAGATGTGACAATGCTAGACCTTGGAGAAGTCTTATGGATTTTAATTTCCGAATTAAACAGCAACTCCCAAGTCTTTCATATCAAACTTGCTAGTTAGCATACACTTAGTAGCATTTATGTTAGCAATGTCATTACTCATTATGAGCATATCATCCACATACAAGTAAACAATGACTATGTGATTTGGAACATTTTTAATGTACACACTTTATCACATTCATTTATCTTAAATCCATTTGACAACATTGTTTGGTCAAATTTAGCATGCCATTGTTTGGGTGCTTGTTTTAATCCGTAAAGGGACTTAACAAGTCTACAGACTTCTTTTCTTTACTGGAACCACAAACCCTTCAGGTTTGTTCCATGTAAATTTCTTCCTCCAACTCTCCATTTAAGAAGGCCGTCTTAACATCCATTTAATGAATTTCAAGACCATAAACCGCAGCTAACGTACTAACGTTCGTATGGATGTAATTTTGTAACTGGAGAGTAATGTATCAGTAGTCAAGACCTTCTCGTTGTCTATACCCTTTGACCACAAGTCTTGCCTTATACTTGTCAATAGTACCATCATCTTTTATTTTCCTCTTAAAGATCCATTTAGATCCCAACGGTTTGTTTCCAGGAGGAAGATCAACCAATTCCCATGTATGGTTGTTTAGTATGGATTTATTTCACTATTGACCGCATTTTTTCCATAACAATGATTCCGAATGAAGACATAGCTTCTTTATGTTTGGGCTCATTTTCCAATAAGAAAGTCACAAAATCTGGTCCAATGAAGTACGATTCTTTGACGTTTAACTACGTTTTGGATCTTCTTGGTTTAATGGTACTTTCTTTTGTTTCTTCCCGAGTCGTTTAGACCTTCACCAATCGACTCACATTCCTTTAATAACGGGATATATTTATTTTTCAAAGGAACTTCAGCAATTATCTGATTCTAATACGTATTATTATGAATGTCGGGATTTTCCGATTTAT